CTTGGTCTTGGTCTTGCTTTTTTTGCAAGACCAAGACCAGTCTCGCTCATCACATGGTTAATAGGACAGTTTTAGCTTGAAACGGGCCATATTATCATGCGTTAAAATACAATATCCGCCAAAATAAACAGTACTGAACATATAGATTATATCATTTATCAATTTGTATCATGTGTATACCGGGTGTCTACGAGATCAGTTTCGCGCTGGCATTTGCTGGTTTTTTTTTTCGATGGCAAAGATTTTTGGTATAGAGTGTAGGTTTGAGAAATGTCATATTTTGACATGTGTGTCAATGTTTGGTAACTTCCGGTTTGACCGGTAATGGTCCTAACTCCGTAATTTTGAATGGCATCCCAATAATTTTTTCGCATTTTTGGTATCTGCGGATCATGATGTGTACGAAAACGTCAAATTTGAACATTTTTGAAGAAGTTTTAGAACTCTGGATGAAAATTTATTTTTGAACAGAAAGTGACGGAGCGGTCTTAAAATTGTTATTTTCAACCCACACAATCGTAGAAAAATGCGAGTGCCAAGATGTTATCCTTTGCTTGCTCTCCAAAGGCATCCAAAGTTGAAAAAATCACATTTTGCGTGATAATTCAATGAAATCAGTGAAATCACCCAACTTTCACAACAAGAGTTTTTTACCTTTTTCAAAATAAAACGAACTATGCATTGAAACTTTTCATTTATGTTAGTTTTTAATTATTTTCTTATTATTTTTATAATGCACTACTATAAATGATAGAACTACTTATAAATGAACCCCTGTATGAAGAACGCTTTTCAAAAGGAGCTGGTGCTTTTTTTTTTCTTGACAAGCCATTGACAAGATCTGTGGGCAAGATATGTTTATTTGTCATTGTTTGACATCTCGGGAATTTGTAAATACAAAGTTTGAATACAGGGGTTTATTTATAAGTAGTTTTATCAGTTATAGTAATGCATAGTGAAAATATTGGAAAAATAATTAAAAAGTGGCATGAATGAAAAGTTTTAATGCATAGTTGGTTTTATTTTGAAAAAGGTAAAAAACATTTGTTATGAAAGTCGGGTGATTTCACTGATTTCATAGAGTTATCACGTAAAATGTGATTTTTTCAGCTTTGGAAGCCTTTGGAGAACAAGCATAGGATAATAACTTGGTATTCGCATTTTTCCACGATTGTGTTAGTTGAAAATAACAATTTTAAGACCGCTCCGTCACTTCCTGTTCAAAAATAAATTTTCATCCAGAGTTCTGAAATTTCTTCAAAAATGTTCAAATTTGACGTTTTCGTACATATCATGATCCGCAGATACCAAAAATGTGAAAAAATTATTGGGATGCCATTCAAAATTACGGAGTAAGGACCATTTCCGGTCAAACCGGAAGTTATCAAATATTGACACACATGTCAAAAGATGACATTTCTCAAACCTACACTCAATACCAAAAATCTTTGCCATCGAAAAAAAACTCACCGAATGCCAGCGCGAAACTGATCTCGTAGACACCCGGTATGTTCAAAAAATGCATCATAGCGACGCAAAAAAGCTTCATAACGATTCTGCAAATCATTGAAAATATTCATTAAGAGTGGTTGCTGAAATTTTTTTGAGACTTATTTCAAACTTGAGCCTTTTTTCCTTCCAAATCCGTATGACCGGAAATAGTGCTCTACTAAGAAAACTGTTTCTTGAGTTGAAAGATACATAATGACGAAGATTTTAACCTTAACTTAATGTCAACCTCATACCTAATGCCAAGTAAGCGAAATATGATAAATGCAAGTCGCGTGCGCAATTACTCAGAGCTCTAGATTTCAGTACTGTTTATTTTGGCGGATACCGTATTTGTACTCAAATTTGATATACCCTCTATAGCATTCATATAGCGTGAAATTGGACGATAATTATATCTGCTGATTAACTCGAGACGTAGAATGTCCCATTTTAGTCGTTTTACGGTTGCCAGGAAGACCCACCGGTGACACAAAGTACATGAGTGTAACGGGTGAATGACGTCGAATTGGTATTCGTTTATTGAGAAGAGCAGATTTTTTTAAACATTTTATCAAGTTTGGTTAGTTCGCAGTGAAGAAACTTACTCTTAACTTATTTGTAATTCTTCAAATAATAAAAATCCTACATCAAAATATCAGCCATCCTCTGTTTACCATTATTCCTCAACACCACAACCCAATCAATAAAATTCGAGGCTCAAAACCTTAAAATTCTCTTTTATTGTGCACCCACCGTCACAATCGACGGACACAGTCTTGCCTCTCTCTTGCGATCGCCAATATTTCGAATCGGCCCATCTCCTTCTAAACGAAATTATTTCGGGACCCTTTTTAGAAGTGTAAAAGTAGGGTGAAAAAGAATAAAAGAGGGATTTCTGCCGGGCGGTCGTGGGACGAGGGGGTGCCGTGGATGGGGTGGCGTCCCCGCGAGGGGGTGGAAAAAAGGGGCGAATTTACATCGGAAAGAGCTGATTGCCGAGTCGGCCATCTTTTAGGTCGCCTGAATTGGCCATTGTTTCGGGAGAGAGAAAAAAAAATAATTATAAAACATCTTAGTTGATAATTATAGATAATTTGATTAGGATTTCTCTTTCTGGGAAGTTGAGAGGCAAATATTTTTCGAAATAAGATCAAGTTGTTTTTCAATTTAATTGTCTTAAAACATCTTCTGACTTCAAACTTCAGAAAAGCCTGAACTTATATTTAAAGAAATTGTTAGATGCTCAGAGAAATATATTGCAACCATTATCAAATCATATTGAAGGGGGCTGTGTAGATTTGTCTGAAAAGAAATTGAAATGACTCAAGAGCTTTTTAGTAGCTCATAGGAAATCCATATGTACCAAATTAGGCATTCAAAAATAATAAGCAATTCAACAAATTATTTCCCGGTCTCGTTCTCTCAGATCAATAAAGATTGTATACAACGTGAAGGAAACAGCCTCCTATACCTAATTTTCGCAGAGCAACTTCTCCTATTTTTTTTATAAATATTTTCCACACATCTTCAGATTTTTCTAATAATTCCCCATACTTCCTCCAATTTCTCCTATACCTTCCCCGGAATAGGTACTTCGATATCAATTCAGACCGATCATTTAGACTCACATAAGCTCCGAGTTAATCGTTTTTTTTTTCTCCTAAAGTTACGACGAAATCTGGAAAATGACTCCAGGCATATCATTATCTCAAATTTATATTATATGGCTTGTTCTGAAATTTGAATGATTTTTGAACAATTTTTCTAATCATTTCCAGTGTGAAATTGTATTAAAAAAAGTCTTTCGTGTATTCATAATCATGAATAATTCGGAAAACCTAATTTAAGCTGTTTCGATAAATTTATGATTTTCGTAACATGTTCCATTTCTTCTAATAATTCATAACTTAAGTAATGTAAAAATATCTACAAAATTTAATTGATTCAATATAATATCAGCACTGCCATCTATCCATAATGAGCATAAAAATGCAAATATCTGTTATTAAAAGAAGGTACCGCTGTTAACCCGCTGGATTTGCCTAGCAGCATAGAAATTAAATTTCTGACATCTTGACAGAGGTTGACAAAGTGACGTCAAAAAAACGCCACTTTGTTAACCCCTGTCAAGATGTCAGAAATTTAATTTCTATGCTGCTAGGCAAATCCAGCAGGTTAACACCTGTCGAGGTGGTAGAAATTTAATTTCTATGCTGCTTGGCAACCCAAGCGGCAGCAAAAGTACTTTTAGTGCCGCTCGTACTTTTACTGCCGCTCAACCATCAGTTACCCCCGAGCTTACCCCATTTGTTTGGAGAAAAAATAGCGTGTTGCATACGGAGTAGAAGCACTTTTTTGTGCTTCAGCAGTATTGCAAGCCTCACTACGTTCGGCTCGCAAACCTACTGCTTCAGCACAAAAAAGTAAAGCTTCTACTCCTAATACAACAATATACTATTTTCAATTTGCAATAGTTGCTCGTACTCACCTGATTCTGTTGGAAAGGAGTGTCTGTACAATAATAGTTTTATAATAAACTAATTTCAATTTAAATCTTTTTTTGCAAGACACTCGCTTTTTGACAGAATTCAGGGATTTAATATTCCAAATCTTGGTGAACCTGATACTGCCTTATTCTTCTCTGGGTACCTACTCGACATAAAAGATCACCATTTGGAGTCTGGATCAGCTGGAGTGACGTCACACCAGCAATCTATCCTCTTTTCTGGATACAGGAAACAGTACGAAGAGCTCCAGTTCATGAAAGTGGAACCCCAACATCCATTGAAGAGCTTCGGATTGGAAAGGTACACATTGTATCAGATTCACCAGAACAACCAAACTGTTAACTGTCAAATTTTAAAGAAGAGTAACATTGTTACTTACATTGTGAAGAAATATCAAATAAAATCATTGTTTGTTGGAATTCGAGTGGTTTCATTTGCACATAAAGGGGCTACACGTTATCTTTATTTATTTTTGAATTCCACGACCCTATAGGTTCTCTTGTCTTAAAGTTTAAACAACTTTATTAATTTATAACAGCAAGAAAGTTTATAAGTTTAGGCACTCAATTTTCTGTTATTTTTTCTCATTTAAATTAGGAATTTATATTTTTTTATATTTTTACATCTTGATGTCCTGTTTTTTGATGTGTTTTTTATGGATTTTAAGTTAACAACTGTGTTTTATTGTTTTCAATTTAATGAACTATTTTATTGTTATCCAGTACTTTCAAATTGTAATGTATTATCTTGGAATATTTTACTTTGATTGTGTTGCCCTTATAAGTTTTTGTAGACATTTCTTGAAAACTAAATATTTTTCTCTAATTTGTAAATTATCGGAATTTGTTTTGCTCTTATTCTGATATTTGATTTAATTTTTACATAGAAAATTTACATTGTTGTCACGCTGTGAAGTAAATAAATCCTGGGCTGGATAATTTCATCGGTAAGTAAATGGAGAATTCAAAAGTTTGCAGGCTTTGTCAGCGCAATCTTGGCAAAATGAAAATGAAATTGTTCTGCGAAACCTGCAAAGGCCTATTTCATCTGGAATGCAGAAAAGTAACTGAGATCGATGCCCGTCTTATGCAGCAAGAAAAAAGGGCCTGGTATTGCGATAACTGTCCTGATGGTAGGAGGCTGAGTTTACCACACCGCTCTAGAACATCGGTAATGCCTACTTGTCCAAGTCCAGAGAGAGAAGATGAAGGCATTTATGAATTAAAAAGCATTCTAAAGCAATATCAGGGAAATGAAACTATCAATGGAGTTTCTGAATGAAAAGTATGAGGAGGAGAGGAAACACAACAGAGTCATGTTGGAAATGTTTTCGGAAATATTGAGGGAAAACCAACTACTAAAAGAAAGAGTTTCTAGATTAGAACAAAAAGCAAGCGTACAGGAAGCAAATACCTACAATAAAGAACAATATATGCATAAGTGTTTTCTATTTCAAAAGAAAGTGCAATTCTGAGGTCCCGTGGTATCTGAAGGGGGATGGGAATATTCGGCGTCGATACTGGACTGGCACACCCAATTAGACAACCACCGCGACGTACACAATTGATAAAATGCTTCAAGAGGGAATTATTGAAGAGTCAAATAGTCCATGTTCTGCGCCAGTAGTATTGGTTACAAAGAAAGATGGAAGTCTTAGATTTCGAGTCGACTACTGTAAGCTTAATGACGTAACCAAGAAGGACAGCTCCAAATGGTTTTCCACTTTGGATCTTGAGAGTGGATACTGGCAAGTGGCTATACACAATAATGACGAAGAGAAAACTGCCTTCAGTACCGGAAGAGGGTTATACCAGTTCAACGTAATGCCTTTCGGACTGTGTATTGCTCCAGCTACGTTTGAGTGACTGATATATTTAGATGATGTCATGATCATGCGGGAAATTCCTTCTAAGAACATCTCAATAACCTGAAACAAGTCTTTGACCGCGGAATGCCAACCTAAAGCTCAATCCAAGTAAGTGTTTTCTATTGCAAAAGAAAGTGGAATTCTTAGATTTCGTAGTATCTGAAGATGGCATAAAAGTTATGGGAGGAAAGATAGATGCTGTTAGGGATTGGTCAAAACCACGCGACAAACATGAACTGAGAGGTTTTCTAGGATTATGTTCTTAATATTGAAGATTTGTAGAAGGTTTCGCTCATATAGCTGCTCCGCTTCATCGATTAACGGAAGACAAATCGACATTGAATTGGAGCCAAGAATGCGATTCCGCGTTTAGAAAATTAAAAGGGGCATTATGTACAAGCCCAGTGTTCTCCTATCCCGATCAGAAAACTATGTTGATTTGGGACACAAATGCAAGCAACACCAGTATTAGAGCTGTCCTTCCACAAATCCAAAATTCACAAGAGCATGTCGTAGAGTAGAACAGCAGAACCTTATCAAAGCTAGAACAAAATTATTGTGTAACCAGAAGAGAGTTGCTTGCCATGGTAAAAGCAGTCGACCATTTTCATAAGTATCTCTACGGACAGATCACGCGGCTCTAAAATGGCTTTTAGAAATGAAAACTCTCGAAGGACTGCTTGCTAGATGGATTGAGAAATTGCAGCAATGGTATTTCCAAATTAAACATCGACCTGGAAAACGGCATAAAAATGCTGACGCTCTATCTAGACGGCCATGCAAACAAGACTGCAAGCATTGTCAAAGAATCGATATGCATGGGAAAAAAACTGGTCTGGCTGTAAGATGAACGGGTCTGATCGTTGATGATAAATGGACTACCAAACAAATAAGAGCAGATCAAGAAGCAGACCAGGACATCGGGCAGTTTCTACATCCTAAAGAAAATGATGAATGTAGTCCAGAATGGAGGGAAGTGTCGAACAAGTGCTTGATTTACAAGGCGTTGTGGGCTTAGTGGAACTCTCTGGCTGTAGGAAATGATTAACTGAAAAGAATTTGTGAAAGTGCCGATGGAAAATCTACTAAAAGCCAACTGGTTATTCCAAAAGATCGAGTAGAAGATGTATTAAAAGAAATACATGACGGAACTTCAGGGGCACATTTTGGAGTTAACAAGACTTTGGACAAAATTCGGGAACGTTTTTACTGGGTTCACTATCATGAAGATGGAAGATGTGAAAAACTGGTGCCGAAAATGCGACAGCTATGATACCAGTAAAGGCCCTAAGCTAAGATCTCGGAGGCCCATGAAACAGTACAACGTCAGTCTCCCATGCATTTGAAAGAATAGCGATAGATGTTGCCGGACCGTTCTCTGAGTCAGAGAGTGGTAGTAAATACATCTTGGTTATCATGGATTACTTCAGTAAATGGCCAGAAGTTTTCGTTATTCCCAATAAAGAAGCCATAACGATTGCCCAGGTGCTAGTGGACGAAGTTTTCAGTCGTCATGGTGTGCCACTAGAGTTGCATTCAGATCAGGGACGAAATTCGAATCTGCCATCTTTAAGAAAATTTGTGAGATCATGGGCATTCGTAAGATAAGGACAACACCTTTACATCCACAGTCTGGTGGCATGGTAGAATGATTTAATAAGACCATAGAGGAACTCCTGACAAAAGTAGTCGCAAAGAACCAGCGAGATTGGGATAAACATTTTCCTCTATTTTTAATGGCTTACAGAGCAGCTGTTCACGATACAACAGGTGAAAGTCCAGCTAGAATCGTTTTTAGGAGGGTACTCAGGTTACCTTGCGATCTGATGTTTGGAACTTGAAGTAGACAAAAATAAGAAAACATTACGGATATATAAAGACCGGTATTAGTTAGTAGTTTTTAGGTTTAAGATTTACTATGATACGATTTAGATAGTGATTATTGGTAAGAGTTTAGTTGTTTGAGTTAATTAGTGAAGTAATTAGTGTCAGAGTGTATAGTAACGCGGAATAAATTATTGTTGTGTTAATTGGCCTTTGATTTTGGAATAAACGAACCCAAGATTTCTGTCGCGCACTGCACAGCCGCGACAGTATATTCAATAAAAAACAAAGAGATCCGAAGGAGTGGGTAGAATAATGTTATTCGATAATAAATTAGAATTTCGCAGATAAAAAGTTGGTTTTTGTGGAAATAGATAAGACACGCCACTTTCTAACTAACGATTGAGCCCGAACGGTTCGTCGAGAGAAAAAATATAGGGGATGAAATTTAGGGGAAATTTTATATTATTTCATTTTGAATAGAGGTGTTTTTTCCGAAAAGTTGATGGCTTTCGAGTTATAAGCCAAAGACTGCCAAAACTACCTTTTTTTGTACTTTATCTGCATTCTTTTCAATGTTGCGTCACGAAATTTTGTAAGCAAACCTTGGATTCGGATTCAGCACCCCAAAAAACACAAGGAATAGAGAAAATCAACACCTCTTCACAACTTTCCTACCAAAAATACTAGTCATACAAGGTGTAGGTAATGCCAAACTTTCAAGTGTGGATTCAGTTGAGCAATTTATAAAATTATTCAATACCTGGATTAATAAAAATCCAACAAAAATTATTACAAAATTGCTTATAGAACAATTAACAAAAAAAAAGTTGCGATGAATTATAAATAAAGATTACGAAACAAAAACATGCAACACGCTACCTTTTAATTGAAAACAAAAAGCACAAATAAACATAAAACACACAAATAAAACGACCGAAAACGAGCACACAAGTTAATGTCCAAGAACCAACTAAAATTTCCGTCAAACAATTAAAAACCATACGCCGGGGATATCCTGAAGGAAACAGCGGTCCCTTTATCCCGGTCAGTTGCGAAAAAGGGTTTATAAAAAAAGGGTCAGCTGGCCTTCCGGGCCTGAGAACTGGTCAAACCGGTCTTATATGCTAATTTCTCGCCCTTTGTCCTCTTTAGGGAAGAGTGACCGATTTTAAAGGATACCTTTATGACCAGGCTAGCAGCTGGCTAGTTCTATTATTTTTAATTTTTTTAAGGTGGTGATAATGGAATGAAATAAGGGTGATTGAAGTGTGCGAATAAATGCCCATTTTATTTGATGCTTTTTGGTAAATAACACTTTACTTTAGTGGTTATGGTAAGAGACATAAGTGATCAGATTCAGTTTTGGTATAGCTGAGATAAAAAATCATTCACCTACTTGATTGAAATGTCTGGGTTTCCTTTTTCATATTCTCGTTTATTAAGTTGTTCAAATATTTCTGATGTAAATTATTATTTTATTTTAATTTTTTTCTCAAATTTTTTAATAAATTTGTATGTTTTCAAATTACCTACTTTATTCTATTTTCTGTGTCTTTATCTCTTTACATATTATTATTTTTTCGTGTTTTCTTAATTTGTTAAATTATGTTTTAAATTTTCATGTAAGTAATTATTTTACCGAAAAAAAAAATTAATAAAAATAAGTTGATATCTAACTAAAATACGAAACTCCTCATTAGAGATATAATTACAGTTCAAAAACATCTGGCTCTTCCTACCATCAAATTACTTCCTCAGCAAACTATCAAAAAAGTCCGTTAGAAAATTGACCCTAAACTCATCATTCAAAAAATTCCCACAGTGGTCAAACCAGTATGCAAATGAAAGGGTCACTAAAATTTAAAAAATCGGAGACCTGCGACGGTCATCCCTTCTGCATCCCTTAAGATAAAAAGGGGTTGATGCCAATTGTTGTGCAAGGGGTGTGCAGGTAGAGATCAGGCACGTAAAAAATTGGGTTTGTTTGTTTGATGTCGTGATGGGATATTGTTGGAAGGTGATATTTCGCATTTTTTATGTTATGTTACTTTTTGTTCAACTTTCTATACTTATGTCTCGATAACTGTTTCAATAATATTCATAGGACAACGATGCAAAATACAAAAAAGATACTACGGCACATATTATGAGTCTTCGCTTCGTTTATAAATTCTGGTCTAGGCTTTGAACTCGTTAAATTTACTAAATCACGTCTCAGACTCAAATATTTATTTTCTCGTGACGAAGAAAACTAAAAAGCTCCCTTCGAGAAAATAAATGCCGCAAAAGAATCTCCTTGCGTCTACGCGAACCAAAAACCAGAGGCAATATCCAGACCGGGCTCCGGCAGAGCCAAGATAAAAAGTATAATAAATTATGGCATTCAAGAGATTGTCAAAAGTTATCTCCAGTGAAAAGGCGCGCAATTTTAAAACGTTGCAATTAGCCCGTAATGGCTACAAAACAAAATGGGTCGTTTTTCAAAATTGCCGTTGCCTATCCAGAGAGCGAGAGAGATCCTGGGCGGAAGAGGCTGGTGTTTTTCTTTTTTCTTGGTTTCTATGGAAAAAGTCTGTGGCTTTGTTGA